GCGTGGGCGTCAAACGAGACGCGTATGGAATTTGAAGGCGTTTTCCAGGCGACTGTCAGTTTTCGAAACATGACTTGCCTCGCAGATGTCTATGTGTCGAAGACCCGTAACAATCTTCTCGGAAATAAGACGATCTCCGAACTGGGATTGTGGAACCGTCCCTTTGACGAAATTTGCAGCGCGGTGTACAACACTACTGAGGAGGTCCTGAAGAATAAGTATATGGAACGCATGGAGAACGCGGCCGGCAGGTGCACGAAAACGAAGATAAGTTTGAAAGTGAAGACGGAGAAAAAGCCAGCCTTCAAGCAGAGCCGACGAGTCCCGTTTGCGGTACAGTCGTCCGTAGAAGCTGAATTAGAAAGACTACAGGAAAAGGGCATAATCTATCCTACCAATTATTCAGCTTGGGCTGCTCCAGTCGTGGCGGGGAAGAAACCCAACGGACAAATACGATTATGTGCGGATTATTCAACGGGCCTGAACGACGCACTAGAAGATTATCATTACCCGCTGCCAACCTTAGAGCAGATTTTTGCTACTCTAAATGGAGGGAAAGTCTTTGCAAGGATCGATCTATCCGAAGCTTACTTGCAAATTGAGGTGGACGAGAAATCGCAGGAACTTTTGACCATAAATACGCATAAGGGTCTCTTCAGATACACTCGCCTAAACTACGGCGTGAAAACGGCGCCTAGTGTGTTCCAGCAGATTATGGATACGATGCTTACGAATGTTCCCGGGACTATTGCATATCTCGACGATATTTTGGTTGTCGGTAGCTCAGAGGAAGAGCTGACTCAAAGGCTGGACCAGGTTGTGGACAATCTGATCGACTACGGCCTTAAGATCAATATGGAGAAAAGTGAATTTTTGCGGAAGGAGATTCACTATCTCGGGTTCATAGTCAACGAGAATGGGCGTGCCCCTGACCCAGAGAGGGTGAAGGCATTCCAGAACATGAAAGTGCCGAAGAACACGAAGGAGCTGCAATCGTTTATGGGGTTGGTCAGCTACTACGGTCCGTTCATCACTGGGTTGCACAGTTTAAAACCTCCACTCAGCCGACTTCTGTGCAAGGACGTGGAGTTTGTTTGGTCTCCAGAATGTCAAAACGCGTTTGATGCCATAAAGACAAAGATATGCGACTCAACTATGCTATCGCACTTCGAGGCTGATAAAGAAACCATAGTCCAGGCAGACGCCTCTGATTACGGTTTAGGCGGAGTCCTTATTTAGAAGGACGCAGATGGGAGAGTACAGCCAATCATGCATGCCGCCAGGTCACTGACGAAGGCTGAACGGAATTATAGCCAGATTGAAAAGGAGGCACTGGCCATTATCTTCGCCGTACAGAGATTCCACCTGTTTATTTATGGCAGACTCTTCACACTGCACACTGATCATCAGCCACTGAAGTTCCTTTTGGGTACTAACCGTGGTGTTCCACAGAACGTAGCTAGGAGAATACAACGTTGGAGTACTATTCTTCAAAACTATGACTTTCAGATCCAATATGTGCCTACTCAGAAGTTTGGAGCTCCGGACGCTTTATCACGACTGAGTACAAGCAACGAAAATCAAGAAGACGTGGTTGTCGCCAGTACGCTAGTGCAAGATGATGACGAGTTTAGAGGTGTCATCCGACAGTTGCCGCTCACAGCCGAGCACATCAGGGCCACCACTGTAGCAGACCCACTTTTGCGCCAGGTGAAAGAGTTTATTCGGAACGGTTGGCCCAGCGACGACAAAGTACACCCATCCATAAAGCCTTTCAGGAACAGAAAGGAGCAGTTGTATATCACGGAAGACTGCATAATGTACGATGGTAAAGTGGTGATCCCAGCCAGATATCAGCAACAAGTTTTGCGGGAGCTCCATGCCGGACATCAGGGTATGACCCGCATGAAACAACTGGCCCGCAAGTACGTATATTGGCCGGGAATTGATAACGACGTGGAATCTTTTGTTCGAAGCTGCGGCCCGTGTGGACGTGAGGCTAAGAACCCACCGAAAGTACCGCCCGTGCCATGGCCAGAGGTAACGAGACCTTGGAGTAGAGTCCATATGGACTTTGCGGGTCCGTTTTTCAACCGAATGTTTCTAATTGTTGTCGATGCATGGTCCAAGTGGCTAGAAGTTTTCGACGTCTCGGCAGCTACTGCTGATATCACGGCAAGGAAGACGGAAGAACTAATAGCGAGATACGGCATCCCCACGGAGATTGTGACGGATAACGGCACTCAGTTCACGTCATCAGTCTTCCAACAACTGTGTCAGAAATGGGGAATTCGACATGTGACGTCACCACCATTCCACCCACAATCAAATGGCCAGGCAGAACGGTTCGTCGACACGTTCAAGAGAGCGATGAAAAAGATGTGGAACACTGGTGTTAAACTGGAGTATCTCAACACATTCCTATTTGCCTATCGAACAACTCCAAAAAGTGATCTTGGGGGCCAGACACCAGCCGAACGGTTTTTGGGACGACAGCCGGATACGCGATTACAGTACCTACAACCGGAAGCTCGAGTTCCACAAACAACAAAATATTACTTTCGCGAGGGAGAGTAGGTGTTTGCTCGCAACTACAAAGCCGGAGAGAAGCCCTGGATAGAAGGTATAATAAGAAAATCCAGAGGTGTTGTGTTCGAGGTGGAGACAGCAGCTGGAAAAATAAAGAGGCATGCAAATCAGCTCAGGACTAGACACACTAGAGACAGTCAAATGGCACTCGACTTGCTGTGTGATACCTTTGAGGTTCCAACCCCCACGGTAGACAGTCAGACAACATTACCCGTCGTTCGTAGAAGTAGCAGAAGAACGCAACCGCCAAGGAAACTGGTCTTGGACCCGAAGAAGAAGAGGTACGAGGTCCAACTTTCAAAAGCGGGAGGTGTTATGGAGAGTGAAAGCGGCGTAGGGCCACGGCCTAAGGCGCCAAACAAAGGACCAAGTGGGCGACGTGAGTCACGCGCGAAGTTAGACAACCGACCGGCGCGCACTGCAGCGCCGAGCACGCGTGGTGGCTTTGCTCACGTGTGCGGCCCAATCAATGGATGGCCGAACATTCCAGACGTTTCCGCGGCGGGGTCATCGCGCACGCGGTGGCCAATCAGCGACCAGCACGCTCGGGACAGGAACATTCTAGAACGCCCTCTATGACTGGCACGTCATTGGACGGAATGTTCCAGAACGCACGGGAGCCAATAAATAGCACACCTTTCTTACGAGTTGCAACTCCCTCCTGTCCGCAAGTTCCAATAAAGTGCTTGTCCTCCGAACCGGCTCTCTTCCTGTCCTACCTTCCTACCGGGTCATAACAAGCAATGACCGTGACAAATTAGGTGGACGGGAATTGCAAAGTAAACATCGCTGGGATGTTTAAATACAGGTTATTTAAGGCAAATCAATGCTTTGCTATTGGTTTTTGCTACGCGCAGTAGGGAGCACACCAAGGCATTATTTATTTGAATTTCGTTATGGCCCATCTTTCACAGTTTGCTACATTTTAGTGGTAAATATGTCAATGTTTAAATTAGTCGATGTTCAACCACATGCTTTACATGACCTCACTCATGAACCTTGATGACATGTCCAGTTGTTAACACATGGACCGTTCAGTTTCACATAGTCCTGCATCAGCGCACACGTGTTTCAGAAATATAACAAAAAGCATTAGCGATTTCACAAGATTATCGGCATTTATATGCCTACTAAGTCATGCATGCTCAATCGTTTAAATAACCGTAAATGCGCTCAATGATAGCAAAAATGGCGTAATATAAAAAGAAATGCGTCTTTTTTGTTTTTGGCAGTAAAAATTCGGTGTTTGTTAGGCAAGATAAATGAAACGCCAAAAAATTCAAAATGTTTCTTAGATTCGCCCAGCAAATATGCAAACACTCGGGCATCCGATAATGGAAAGCAGTATTGAAGCGGTTCCTATACACGTTAATTATATGGTTTCCTTATTTATCAAGAGCATATTTATACTGACGTTTGTTGTAAATGTTCATTTTTTCCGACAATGAGCATTCGTGCTATTGTGAGTGTTCAGAACTGACTCAAATGCCCAACTACGTACAACTGAACACCCACACACTCGCTATGTTCGAAAATCCTTCAATAACTGCCTTATTTCAAAGGTCTTAATAAACGCATAATATAGCATATTCCTTGTTAGGCAATCGTTTTTTAAACATCGAAGATCATGAGCCATTCGCAGTATTACAAGCTTGGCCTGAAACGCAACGTAGTCCATAGTGAAGGAAATAGACAAATTAACTTAACGGAAGTTGCGTTCTCTTAATTAAAATAATATTGCATATTTAAGATTATACCCTTCAATTTCACCTAAACGTAAGCTTGAACAAAAGACTACATTAGATAATATATCTCATAAAATGTTGTGATCAAAATTTTTTGGGACGTATGTTGTCGATACGTTTTGTTATTCGGCTTTATTGAATGACATTGGGACGCAGATAGTCATTTACTGATACAGAATCTACTTCAAATGTGTTTTGCTTATATAAAACAAACCCAATTCGGGCAAAGCCTAGTCTTCCTTAATGACCCGGTAATTCCCTAAGCTACTAACATTCACAGATCAAAGCCGCAAGTTTATCCGCGTTGTACTGTAAACATAACTTATATAGACAGAGGAAGTGTGAAATAAAATCGTTCACAGGGCACATCCGCCTATGTTCTTAAAATTTAAACAAAAAATATATAACGAATTAAAACTTTAATAAAAAAAGGCCATGGCAGAGACGTTTTGAGGTAAATGACCTATTACAGAACGTTTTTAAATTCCGAAGATACATGTTGGCTTCCGGTCTTTAATTGCAGTTTTGCGGCAATGTCATATTATTAAACAAGTCAACGATGTCGGCCCAAGTGGGTGTACGCGGAATACGCTTACGAAAGAGCAAACGGTGCCAAAGACGACCTCCGAAAACCCCCGAAATTTAACGGTTAGTATGACCATTGCATTTGGGGAGCGGTCAGTTTGACGGCAGACTACGGATAACACTAACAGGAGGGTGTTCTTTAATATTGTAAACTACGTTTTTAATTACAAGGACATGCACTGACGCCGATTGGATACCATAATTGTACACGGAAATGTTTATGTTCATCGTTCTAAAGAAATTTGTATCTGGCTGCATTTTAACCGTAGTACGACCTTTCGAATAACAAGAAACCTTGAACCATGCGGCCAACAGTCGATTTTATCTATATCAACAGCCGGAGCTCGATCCTTATGAGTGGCTTTTCCCAATTTTCGGAAGACATTAGCACAAAGAAAAGAAGATGTAAATGTAACAAAAGCTTGATTTTGTGCAGGTTAATCAATGAGAAACCATTCCATTAGAGACAACTCCAAAATCGCCTGCCCTGTGGCATACAAGCGGTCATCAATAACTTACCAATTTTTTGTAGTTGTTATCATTCTTTGCTTTACTTCACTTCGCCTGTGTTGCCCTTCCTTGTGCACTTTCATAAGGTAGGTAGGCTTACTCATGTAATGCCAAATGAAATTTAGAAATGCGTTTTCGCTTCGAAAGATGAATTAATTAGGGATTAAATAGCAATCAATGTCCAGCGTCTTGCAACAATAATTCAGTTACCTCCTGATGCCGGATTTTGATCGACAATATTTCTGACTGCATGCCGCAACCATACTATGTAAAAAATGACTGCTTATGTAGCCTGCCTTATTTACGCTGGTGTTCGAAGCCAGTAAAAAGTCAGTTATATTTCGTGGAAAACATGCATAAACATATTCATTCTTTTAACCCTTGGTAGAAAATTACGTCTTCTGCTAAATTTGGAATCTAAATAGGGCTGACTTTGATTTTAAAAAGCCTAATTGTAAGGTTTTCTAATACCATGAAATGGCCGTTCATAAACCGCCATGTCTCTGCATTTTCCGATGTGGCTTGCTAAGTTAACAACGCTGCTCAAATCCAGTGCTATATTTTATAAACCCCATCTAGTCTCCTATTGATAGCGTAGAGAAACGTGTGGTTTTTCGTAATCAGAAAATAAAAGGTTTGTAGTTGAGAAACCCTAAATGCAAATGCAGTGACAGGGCGGAGCCAAAATGATTCGAGAATTGGAAAAGTTTTTAGAAACCCAATTATACTTCTTTGAGTAAAAATTTGGGAAAAGAAGTAATTTTCTGCTGATTAATCAAAGAAATTCGCTCGACAGCCAGTATCCTAAGGTAAATGAATTATTACATAATAAGGTTAGAGAATGTTTAATTATCCAACCGTACTTAATTAATCGTTTTTGAAACGAAAACGCATTTCGGAATTTCGGCTTATATTACATGAGCTTATCCACCTTTTGAAGTTAGTCGTTTAAGGAGATTTTTAATTTAACCATACCTTTAACTTCCAAATTCTCGAGGAAGCGTACCCATTTTTTTCAATCGAATGCTAATTTATAGACCTGAATATGTCTTTTTAAGAACGATATTTATTTAACTGCCGAGACAGTTTGAACCAACTAATGTTTTAGTTCATAGTTTGTTGCTTTTCATTGGAGCGCCCAGAGAACACCTGAGCGTTGGTTACCATTTGGCATAAGCCCTTTTTCAGGAATCTGCTAGGTAGTCACGAGTATAGCAATGGAAACAGAGAAGCACCCTAGGCGTTGCTGGAGCACAAACTCGACATACCAATTAACCTACCAAAACGTACGAAAGACATAATATTGTCAACGGTTGGGAAGGCGAAATTCTGCTACACTTCACACATGATCCAAAACGCAATATGCCGCCTTGCCTGAGTAAATTAAATAGAGTCAATTATGAGATCTCTGACTATATTTGATTTCCTGTTCATGTACAGGCCATCGTGATTCAATCGTTGATTCACAAGAAGACCCAATTTAAAACATTCTGGTTTCATCACATTCGACATCATGTGGCCTTCGCGTAAAAAATCAGGACTTTAATGGCCAAAAAGCATATCGGTATGCATTTTACTCAACAGATACCACGTTAACTGTCAATTTTTCACTCAGTTCCAATGTCCACAAGGTCGCTGCATCTCTTGCGCCAGCCTGAAAGAAACATTCCCGAATAGAAAAATGGACTGAAGCTGATGCTGCTTCTAGTAGTTGGACTGTTGTCCCGAACAGAACTGCGCCTTGAATAGAAAATCACTTTTGGCAATTTTATTTTTTCCCTGACGATATGCAACGATAAGATACATTGTTTTAGTTATTTTATCACTGTAAATGGGGTTGGTTCTATTGCTAACGGAGATTGGGTGTAGAAAATTATTTGTAGCGAGCAAAGTGAAAAATTGCCTCGACCTAATTGGCGACTGATCAGGCCTGGTGGTGATGGCTCACAAAATAGTGCATTAAAAGACTTCTCACAGTTTCTTCCATTCCCACTCTGCAGGAAGGTCGTTCCTTTAATATCCATTACTATCGGATTGGGAGTCATGCTGAAGCAATTCTAATATTCGCTGATAAAACTAACACTTATTCATATGCAACTGAATACAGCTGCAGAACGGAAGTATATTAAACAAAATATTCATGCATGT